CAAACGCTCACTTTTCAGCGCTTTCAACTCACCTTAGAAGGTGTGTACCGGCAAAGTGTCACATGAGATCTAAGCATTAATCATTGATTAGAGTTCCATTTCGCAACGGCTCAGTTTGTAATTAAGGAGCCCGTAGTACGATGGTAGTTATGCTATTAAAAGCGAGCAAAGAGCTTGTTCGACTTTACACCGGGTCCACCAAGACCTCATACCTCTGGGCTTGGGACATTGGTCCCAGATTAGTCTGAAGCCAGCTGCTTCAACACACTGACGCTTACTTATGTGATTAACATCTGAGAATGCCTTCGCAAGACTATCACACACATATCAGGATTACAAGAGGAATTTGTTTGTTCAAATTCAACGAGGTTCATTACTGAGACGAAAATCCTCGAGTAGCAGCCGAAACCACCAGCATCTTTATATGTGCTGGGTGCAATGAAACGAATTGAATGAAAAAGGTGGTGAGATCAGCGCAAAATATGATATCGTGTAGTGTAAAAAAAGTTTATATTTGTTTTAAAAATGGCAAAGGAAGCAAACACCAAGATAATAATCGCTTAATGATTTTCAGGCTAAAATTAACGTCAAAGCTGAAATTTAAAACTAATCACTAGATCCGAGTTTATGGCAATACGAGAACCCTCATCACAAGAATGAAAAGCTGTTGAGAGCCGACTCCCATCAATCCGGATATGAATAAGGCGAGGGCATGGAAGCATTAGCCATGCGAAAATATTTTATCAGCGTCGTGTTAGCTAGTCAGTGAAAAAGACATTGATTATTTATACCGGAGCTTGGTGAGAGGATGCTTACAAATTGATTAATATTACAATTGAAATCTTATAACTGTCTTCTTGTTTGCTGGTGAAAATTCTATTCTCGGCATATTAGACATATATTCATAAGAAGCTGAATACAAGGAAGCGTCGTTTACTGGAAATGTCTTTTTACTACATCCTGCCTAATCCATACCAATTTGCTCCATGTATAGGGGTTGGGAAAGGATTATCAAAAAAAAAAGTGTTGAGACACTAATTTTGTACATCACTATTGCCCTGAGATAAGCTAATAGTGGAGAAAAGCTTCACAATTATCTTAAACGAAGGGTCTTCTACTTCTTATCACAGATTAATTACAAGATTAGCAATCAGTGAAAAATCGATCACGATCATTTTAACATCTTTAACCTCATTACTGCTTTCTAATGCCCTGATAAAAAATCGGAACAACGGTCTCTCTTTTTTTCTCTTTGAAAACACTGCAGTACAGGACATAAATCGCATTGGAAGCACTTGTTCATTGTTGTCCGACAAAGGCTTAGGAGTGTGTCGTTTTCTTGTTCACCAATCGCAACGACATTATACAGCATACATTTACTTCGATAGAGAAACACAATACAATACAACACTAGCTGACGTTTCGGCAGTATCGCCTTCTTCAGAGCCTGGTAGGGTATACTAATATACAATCTACTAGGCCAAACGCTTCAATGACACTTACAAAAAGACGAAAAACTATGACAATTGCGTGATCAACAGCTTCTCGAAACAGTCACCGCTTTTTTCATGACCTCTAATGAGGAAGGTTAGAACAAAATACATTTGAACGTTCAAATCAACTAATCAAGTAGCGGTTATATGACAAAGTAGTACCGAAAACCAAGTCACAAGAACATCCTCGTTCATCCCCTTTCTTCCCATCCTTCACACACAAAGAGGGCGATTGTGAAAAACATGTTTCGAACAGCCACCTCTGTGCGCACTACCACGGAACTAAAGGAAGAATCGCGCGACTTGGCTTGGTAAATAGCCACCTCCAATGGCTGAAAAATAGTTGCCACACGAGACAAGTTTAAAAGGAGAGCGACGCGCCGAAACGAAGCACTTGCCCAAAAGAAAGTCCTGTCTATGTTGCCCTTTACTAGCGATAAAGTAAGCATAGCTATAAAACGACGCCTAAAAGGGCAGGTCTAGAGGAATCGGTAGCGATAGTTGAATTATCACCGGTTCCTCTACGTCGTAAAGTAGTTCGTAACCGCTTGTATGACCGTCTATGTGAAACAACAAATTGTGTAACCTACCATTACGACAGGGACGGTGATTGCATGAGTTCAGGTGCGATATACCTGATCTCTTGTAATGATTGCTGAGATGAATATATTGGCTAAAAGGGCAGCCCCTTGTGTATCCGTATAAAACAACACGAAAAGCAATTGGATTGGAAACGAAAAGCAAGACAAAGTACTCCACTAGGCACACATAAGATACAAAAGCATAGCGGAGACGATTTTGAAGTTAAAGTGAATATCCCCGCACAGGAGACTAAGATACCAACGTGCTAACTTCTTGAGGCTTTTTGGATAAATGCCAAAAACGCCACAATGAGTAGCAAGGAGGAATGCCCAGAGGTCACACGCGACCTGGCCCCGTATCTTCGCATCAATTTCTGATGTGGAGTGGTGCAGTCATCAACTATATGCGACTATAATCAGCTGTTCTAACCTTCCTCATTGCAAGTCACGAAAAAAAAAACGGTAATTTCGAGAAGCTGTTGATCATGCAATTACCATAGAGTTTTTCGTCTTTTTGTAAGTGTTATTGAAGCGTTTGGCCTAATAAATTGTATATCAGTAGAGCCTTCCAGGCTCTGAAGAAGCCGATACTGCCGAAACGTCAGCTAGTGTTGTATTGTATTGTGTTTCTCTATCGAAGTAAATGTATGCTGTATAACATCGTCGCGATTGGTGAACAAGAAAACGACGCATTCACATTCCAATGCCGAGGTTAAAAGAAAGGCGAACCTGGGAACTCTTAAGAGTCTTAATTTCCTGATTTCAAGAAACGCCTATAAGTAAATGGTGCTATAATCGCACAGTACTGGTTTTATTCTATTCTTTACTATTGTATCCCCTCTATGGGTCTTCTTAAACTAGTCATGCCCACGTCGCTCCCCATGTTCCGGACTTATAAAAAGCTCTCCTTGAACATTCGAGAGTATTCCATAACATATGATGTTAGCCAATCTCATTTCACTGTAGAATCTTCGTAATTGTTTTCTCAAGCTAATAAGCGTGAAGATAAGAGGCATTTTTTTTAAACCCTGAGTGGTTTTCCTGGCTTGACATAGCGATTTTTCAATAGCAAATTTGAGTAACGAAACAGCAGTGCGATGTGGGAGGTCAGATTCCGCCTTTTGCCAGCTTTTTTTGGATTCTTACACTAAAGGAAATTTGTTCAAATAATGTTAAATGAAATAAAAAGAGAATACAAGAAACACAGCCCACTTTTTTCTTTTCCTGGGAAAGGCACGGAAGTGAGAGAAGAATTTGAATGTGCTACTTTGAACAGTTGGATTAGGAAAAACAGCCTAATCACGTTTGTATAGTTTTTTATTTCTACAGTTTACATAAGAATCTGAGAGGAACGGAAACTGACATCATCTTTGCTCCTTCTTCTTTTCCCAAACTCTAAATAAAATTAGTTGTTCATTATTTTTACTTCTATAGATATCATTTCCACCACTAATCTTAGTGTCACTATCAAAAAATTCGTATTTTTACACAATTGTTTCATACATTTTTCGCCTGTAACCGTTTTAACTATTGTGCAGCTCGGGTAGGTCCCAGTGAAATCTTCAATCATCTTTAGTGCGTGGCTGGGCTAGTTATAGAGGATTTCTAGTTAGAGGGATAAGAATAACATACACAACGAGTTCGTATATTTTTAGAGACATGGGAAAATAGCGCGAGGTAGTTGAGCGATCTGTGGCACACGCATGTTAGCCGTTCACCCTTAGTTAGGCTTTCGTATTGAAGCGTTTAACTCAGGTTAACGCAGTTTAGCACGGTGTCGATAAAAGAATTATCTGAACGGATCTGTGTAACTGTCTCCTTTCCTTCCAGGAATATCTTCTTATCTCAATACAATGGAAAAAAAATCACACCACTTTGATTGTGAGAAAATCTGTCCACTATAACATGTATAAAGGTTTCGAGACAATCTCGTACATAACCACAACGTTGCTGAGATATTTGCAAAACTCTGGACCGCAGGTGTCTATGGTGGGGAACGAACGCGCTATTGTCCTTTCCGGGGAGTAACGCGTTCATTGTGATTTCAACTACAGCCATAGCTTAACTGGGTTCTATGCCGATTTGCGCTTCCCAGATCAACCCCGCTGACGGGTGATTGTTGTGGCAAAAAAGATCGATAGAAATAGATGAGAGACAGGCGAAACGAAGGACCCGCATGGTGTGGTGGTGAACGCGTTACTCTCCGGAAAGGACAATAGCGCGTTCCCTCCCCACCATAGACACCTGCGGTCCAGAGATTTTGCAAATATCTCAGCAACGTTGTGGTTGTATTTCGCTTAGTAACCTGCCATGAAAATTATAGAAGGCAGAAAACAAAAACGTTAAACATTGTAATCTCGTACATAGTTGGTTCGAATTTCTTAAAACATTTTGTCGGAGCCGTTTTGAACCTTTCGAAAAGAAAATCTGCAGTGGATGGCTTAATGTACTCGTCGAGGAAACGATTTGTAGTGTATACATTCCACATGTTGTTCTTGAGATATAGTTTTACTCTTTGTATAGGAACGAGTCGCTCTAGACCACTTAACTTTTGTTGCTCCCTCCTTTTAGATCATCATAGTGAGGCATGTCTAACCAGTTTTCTCGATGATCGATATCAATGTGGTAAAGCATTAGCTTGGAGAGCTGCATATTTTCACTGTCTTTCGCAGCATGGCCTTCCTTGGAGTGGCTGTATCAACCGTGGCGGCATTTGTGTACATTGCCGTTTTACCTATTCTGTACAACTATGTGCAACATATGAATGCAGTCATGGAGAGTGAGATAAACTTTTGTAAACTACGTTCAGGAAAAATTTGGAGAGAAGTTATTCGCATGCAGGTACAAGACGACACTAGTACGCCTTTCATAAGTTTCAACCAATTTTTCTTACATTGCAATAAGTCGTTAGTTGGACCTAAGAATTATGGTCCTCACTCAGCTAACTGTGGTAAATCCTTCTCTGATAGCTCGATCATCGCGGCAATCTGTATATGACGTTGACAAGACGTCACCAGCTGTTGATGATTATTCACAGAGTGAGATGTGCTGCAGTTGCGCCGCCGGTCCAGTGGGCCCACATGGACCGCCCGGTTCGGACTGTTGTAACGGAAAAGATGGTCCAGCCGAGACAGCAGGGAGGAATGACGGCACTCCTCTTCCACCAATGCCACAAAACCAGCAGGTACCTAAGAATTGATTAGTAACTAGTATTATTCGTCGCTGGCATGCAAGAAACAGCTTTGAGTATTAATTTCCCCAGAAAATTTGATTTGTCACTGATATTTCAATTTAGATTTGGTGCTTTGATTGTGATGACGCACCAACTAGGCCTCGTGGTTGTCCTGGTCTAAAAGGATCGCCTGGAGCATCTGGAGTTCCTGGACGAAAAGGGAATGAAGGTCACATTGGGCCTTCCGGACCAGAAGGCACAAATGGAATAGAGGGAGTGAATGGTGAGCAGGAAAAGCCAGGACCTCTAGGCTTTCCTGGAAGACTTATAGAAGTTCGTTTCTTTGATGAACCCCCTGGCCCTCCTGGGAAACCTGGACCACCTGGACTGGACGGTATTTTTTTACAAAATTGGAGAAGTTTTCACTCACTGTCGATGCTAAGAAGTTGAAAATGAATATGCTTAGAAAAACCGGGTCAAAATGGAGAAATTGGAGCCGATGGATCTCCAGGGGATGTTGGTGATCGTGGAGCTAAGGGGCAACAAGGAAAGCCGGGCATTTTGGGCCCTAATGGTCCAGTGGGTTTGTCAGGTGTAACTGGCGGCTGCAGCCACTGCTCTATGCCGATTACTGCACTGGGTTATTAATGAAGCTCTCGCAGTGCTTCGCTAGATTTCTTTTTACCACTTTTCGAATGGCCGACATACCAATGTGTTTTTTTGTAAATAGTTTTTGACACATTTTTTTTGTCCCACTGTGATCCTTAATGCTGAATTTTTCATTTTCGACGTGTGGAGACACTTTGCTCCTTTTCTCATATATTTGTTCAAAGCGAAAAGTTTAATCATTGGTAACAGTAGGTAATTAAGATTTGTGCTTAGCTAGAAAATTGTGATCGGTGCGTAAAGTTCATGTAAGGCATTTCTTGTCTATTTCCTTGTTCAAAGGAATACTGTGGAGATAGAAAATGAGGCACTGCATTGCAATTAAAAACAAGAAACGAATTTTTTAGCATTTCTTTTTAGAGATGAAACCAATGTTTGACTTCAAGTAAGTGAATAAATCCACTCAAAATCGCTCAAAATATGTTCTGCTTGTCCTTGAGTGAATAGCAGGACCACATGAAGCCACAGCTTGGCGCGCATGTAACGATAAATTTAATAAACACGGATACAGCATTGACTTCATCGTATTACTGTTAGCATTCATGCACTTTCGAATTATTGATTAGTTTCCAAGTTCTCGGCTAAACCCTAGAACCCTAAAAAGAAATCATTTTACAGCCAGATAACATGAGCCTTCAATCATGACACCAAACCACTTCCTTTCCAAATCTTCGCATTGATTTCTGTAAGGTACTCACATTCAGAGCAAAAGCGAGGTCAAAACCACCATCGCGGGTTCTGTTTCTCAGCTCAAACGTTTTTGCTAAGAAAAATCCAAAACTCAGCTATAAATTTGAAGAACTCAGTTATGAGGATGCATTTGTTCAAATGTGTGGAAAATGCAAAGATGGTAATGGCAGGTAGCACCATTTTATTAAAACGGCATGGATTTTAGTTCTTAAGAAACCGTTCGTTATAGAAGCATAAAACTATTGCTGGACTCTCCTCAACACTACAGACAACATTCTCCTCAGAATAACGAATGCCGTCCATCGATTTTGAGTCAGATTCGCATGAGCTTCCAGTATAAGCTTCCCTTTCAGATTTCTTCGCTTTCACAGGTACTTCCTGTAAAAGCTATTGTCTCGCTTTCATATGAACTTTCCACGTAAGCTACCAAAGCGCTCTCAAATGTACTTTCTATACGAGCTATTGGATATTCTTCACGAACATTCTGTCGAAACAACTCAATCAGATTGTCCTAACTGAGAAACATTCTGGAATCTCCCTTTGCGCATTAATTCCTGCTGTATGAACACTCCACCTGTCATACAAGATATATAAGCACAAACACCATTAACCACGGCTCGGTGAGTTGGCTGAGCTAGTGAACTTATAGTTTCCGTCTTCGTATTAGGATTACATCGTCACTTTTGAGGGAAGTTCTTCATTCGCTCAATGTCTTTTCATTGGATTCGACTAGATGGGACAAGAACAATCACAACACGACATTGATTAACTATACATAATCGACTCTGATCGATGCGGCTCTGAAGAAGGGTGGGACGTCGAAATGTCAGTCAGATAAAAGTTTTTAAACCAATCTTGTGTCATCTCCATAACTTGGAACATTAGTGCAATGTTCATTTGCTATTCTCGGAAATATTAGCGATACGAAGTTTAGCGTCGCCCCGTCGAATAACACTCTAACGGAACTCTGAGATGGTTATCGTTATGTCGAGCTAATAATATTAGACAACACTCCCTGTGATAGACTGAGCAGACGATTCCGTTAAACATAGTTATGGTTAGTGTTCCAGATCTTTCTATCAAGCTAAATTCATTTTCACTGAATGAAACCAACCAACGAGATCAGCTTTTCTTCTGTTTCGGCTTTCAATTATTTGTAAATGAAAGCCCAGACCTGTGCTCTATTGAATCGCTTGACTGGATGCTACAGCTTTACTAGGCTGAGCTTTACTACTCTGGACTATCTCTAAGAACTTGTTTATAACCCAAAACACCACCTCTTCATCTTGCTTTTTTATAGTTATGAAAAGTTGTCTGTTTGGTAGACGGTAACTTACTTACTTACTAGGATACTTGGACGGTCCGTCTTCACCAACTATGCGGACCCTAGCACATATACCAATCGTTCCTTCTTCTCGTAATCGCTCATGTTTTAGAAGACATCGCTCAAGCGCTCTGCGAGCAGTGCGAAGCATTCCTAACGTGGTTGAAGTATTAACCCACGTCTCAGCAGCATAACAGAGCACTGGGTGGACCGTAGAATCGAAAAGATGAGCGCAGCTTTTTGGGTCCTTCAGTTGGTCAGTGGCATCCTCGAGAGGCCCCAATGCGGCCCAAGCTGCTCTCCTTCTCCTATCTTGTTCCTCCTTCATGTTGTTTTCCATGTTCATTGATCGTCCAAGGTATGCGTACGAGGTGCTCTCTGCAATGAGAGAGCCATCCAATTCAATTTTTTCGCCTTAGCACCATGGGTTTTTCATAAACTGGGTCTTTTTTCGATTTATGCGCAGTCCGATCTATTTCCCGCTTCGTTGAGCTCGTCGATCATTATCTCTGATTCTCCAAGATTGGACCAAAAAGAACGTCTGAAGAACGTCACATTGGGACCCATGGATTAGAAGGCAACGAACGGAGTGAACGGCCACCTGAGTTTATCATGGCAACTAAGACCATCTACGGCAACTCGCAATTCCAGAAGCCTCGCCCTCAATGCTCGACGTGAGAGTCTTCCAATGGAGCGTGCCACAACGAAATAGACCGCATCATAGTAAATAGAAGATCTTGCCTAACCGATGTCGCTGTTGTCCCAAAATACTACACCAGATCAGGCCACCGTCTCCTTCGCGCAAGATTCTATTTCTCGCGAAAAGAAAGAAAATAGGTTAAAAACCGAAGTCTTAGAACCATCATAAATTGCAACTTATCCAATTCATTAGACGGCTGTTGGAAAGATGCCGTTGTCGATAACATCGACGAAGAATACGATCAGCTCGTTTAACATCTTCACGTTAGAGCTACTATAAAAGCTGAGCGAAAGTCACCAAGAGACGCCTGTCTCCAGAAACACTTGAGCTGATACGCCAGCGTGGAATCGCACGAACTGCAGGCAACCGAGAACTAACGTCCGAACTTGCAAAGCAATGCAGACAGGCGATAAAAGAAGATCTTAAAGACCATCTCGCTAAAATTATTTACTGCCACCCTCCACACTGTCATGCGAGCATTGGAGTGGGATAATATAGGAGTGAAAATCGACGGTTGGCAGGTACACCATCTTCGCTTTGCTCACGACATTGTTCTTATAACACCAAACATTAGCCAAGCGAAACGCATGCTTGACGACTTTGCTAAAACCTGTGGAAAGATTGGTCTTCGGCTAAATATCACAAAAACGATGTTCATGAAGAACGGATTGGTTTCGTATGGTCCACTCACACTCAACGGAACGAATATCTCCGAGTGCTCCAGTTATGTCTACCTCGGTCGGGAAATCGGTATGATGAACGACTTAGCTCCAGAGTTGAGCAGAAGGAAACGAGTGGCTTGGGAAGCTTTTAGGAGCATCGAGGATGAAGTGAGAAAAACAAAGACCACCCGAATCCATGCCCACCTTTTCGAGCCAACGATGCTTTTTGCGTTAACGCATGCGTCAGAAACCTGGCCGCTGCGCAAGCATGATGAAAAATCACTCAGCGTTATTGTGCAGTCGAAGGGACGATGCTAGAAGCATCCCGTTCCACACATGTAAGAGATGGGATCTGAAGCTCTGATCTGCGTCAACGATAAAAAATCAAAGATGCCGTTTCTGTACGCTAAACCGTCGAAGATAAGGTGGACGGACATGTTATGCGTATGAATGACAGCCGATGGACAAGAGCCGTTAGTGAGTGGATTCCTAGGGATGTTAAATGCGATACAGGAAGACCACCTAATCGATGGTCAGAGTTCATCACGAAAAGGCTAGTAGAAAGATGTAATGCTTAGTAATTCTCTAGAGCGAGCAAAATTTACTGGGATACTCTTGCACGCGACAGTGAAAAATGGAAGATTTACTGGCACCCGCTCGAGTCACTCGACGATCAACGGGACTACAGGTGATACAGGTCATGCTCAACTCGAAGCATTTTTGGTCTAGTGGTGGTAATGTAGCCAAAGTGTGAGCTATAGTAAAAAGAAGCTTATCCTTACTTGGAGTGAGTTTATCGAAAAGCTAAAGGTTAGCTACGGAATTCATCATTCAAGGCAAACTGTTAAATTATTCACTGCAGCACGGCGCTATAGTGCTTTGGCAAGATGGTCTCGCCCTGTCGGATATTACTATCTAAGTAAAGATGAGCGGTGAAAACAGTATATTTTGCAGGAAAGTTGCGATATCAAAGTTCTTACTAGCATCTCTTAAAAACGAATATGTACAAGATGATTTTATAGATTCTGATAAAAAACGATACACTCGGCGTTCATTAATCCCTGGGAGATGCGCCATGAATTTGACTTCATCAATCAACGTTTAGAGGTGACTGAATGCATATCTGGCCTCTACAATAATTTTTGGTTACCAAGCCAGTGCTGCTATCTTCCCAGACAAGTGAAAATCTGCTTACCTCGGAGGGGTGCAAAGCTTGGTGTGCCATAGGCGTGTGGATCGATTCCACGCGCGTTTTCCAGGGCGCCTCCGACCACTGCGCCATACCAGCCCATAAAATCTGATATATTATATTATTATTTATTGTTGTATATTTGCTCCATTTTATTCCATCGAGACTCATAATTCGAACCCGAAAGCAAAAGAACGCGCAGTTTAGTCAAAAATAACGCGATTGTGTTCCTCAGTGTTTCATTTTGCCGCTTTGCGCTGGATATTCTAGGAACCTAAATTTCTTCAGCGATTTTTTGAATCACAGTGCTGTTGCTTTATTTACTGCTTGTTACAACTTTTCATGGCACGGTATTATGTGTGACATGCAACCACACGTGGAATCGATCCTAGCGCCCATTGCTCACCAAGCCTTCCTTCCCTCCGGGGTTGGCAAATTGGACCTGACTTGTTTGGAAGGATAGAAGCACTGGCTCGATACTATATTTAATTTCGAGAAATGTCGTAATTTATTCGCAATGCATAGTTTTGTGTCACATGCACGATGATGTAAAATGGTGTGTTTTCCGCAAAGGCGCTAGTACGCTAGTAGTGCAGTAGTCAGAGGCGCCCTGCCATACACATGGGATCGATCACCGAGCTCCTGGACCACCATGCCTTCGATCCCTTCGGTGTCGACAGATTGGTGCTAGACTTGTATGCAGGATATCAGATGGACTTGGTAGGCCATCGCGAGTCATTGTAAAGGCCAGATATGCACTCAATCACCTTCAACGATACTTAATGAAGCCGAATGCATGGCGCATCCCTCAGGAATTGATCAGTGCCAAGAGGTTATCCTTATCTTTTTACGAACACTGTGTTGCTGAGATATTTGCAAAACCCTGAGCCGCAGGTATCTGCGGTTGGGAACAAATCCGTTGCTACTTTTTCGAGGCAGACGTGTTCGCCTCCACACTATACGGCTCCTTTGTTTCGTCTTTGTCTCATCCGTGTTCTATATAGGTGCTACTAGCAGTCACCTGTTAGCAGAATTGTTCTGGGGAGTCTAGATCAGCATTGAACTCAATTAAGCTGAAGTACTAGTATAAATCAGAATGAAGTCACTTTTTATCTACTGCATGTTCTTTTTTGGAACTCAAAGCAAAACTGGACTCTAAAGTGAGTTTTTTTGGTAAGAACTAATAAAGCCTAGTTAGCAAAGGAACCCAATTTGCGAAAAGATTTTCAACGGCTTTTTCTTGTCAAGATTGTTTGCAACATAACCTACTATCTGTGATCCGTTGATTACTGAAGTTAGCATAATGCTTGATATTAATGCCATGATGCTATTATCCACTTTGAAAAAAGTACAATCTACTTATAAATCGAGAGAGATGCTCGTGACAATGTTCCATTCTAGAAATCTGAAAATGTAAAAGTTTTAATGCATTTGGTCTCACTTGGCAAATAAATAACTTTTTAGGAACTACACATGTCTTTTTAACTGATTTCTTGAGTGCGCTCTCCATTGGGGGTTAGTCGCGTTTTGGGAGACCGTGCGTAATTTGCTACGAGACTACTTCAATGAATTTAAAAAATTTCCTTCGCAGAAAACTCTGCGAACAGAATTTTTTTAATCTACAGTTTTACTGGTATTCTGATCCTTTTTACAATTGTCTTTTCTATCCAAGGGTACAGCCGAGATGAGGCGTTCCGACGTGGATTAGAGGAGGGCATAGGGAAAGGTTCGAAATAGCGTCCTTGTTTTCTGATCGACGGCATCACTAAACATTGCGTTGGCCCTCCTTTTTGATGTTTACTATGCTGTGATTTGCTATTATTCGAGATTGACTTCGGTATCTCGAATGATTTACAAAGAATGAACTGGTGAGTGCTTAGAAGAAGCTATTTACCATGCGAACAAAAATTCATGTATTAAGTTTTGACCGTTAAGAATATGAAAGTGCTCCACTGAGTGAAATAGTGCTAAATTTGACTCTTGCAAACTCTAAATAAACAAAAGGGAGCGGATAGCACAACGGCAGTGGTGCCGGTTATCACTAGCTCAGTGTTGGTCAGACCCCAATCTGGGCTCGCCAAGCCCCTCATTCTCCGGAGTAGGGAAATTGGTACCCGACTTGTCCGGGAAAAGCCACTCTCTGCAATCCAATTAGGAAAGCAATAGCCCAGCTTTCCCAGGAGTTCATGGAGAATCGACTCGACCAGTATACTACGAGATTGAAAATGGAATGAAAATCATCGAGTCCTAGTCGAAGCCACACGTGAAGGTTGGAGGATGTTCGTGGATGATGGATTCGAGGAGTCGAATCGAATGTGAGAAGTGCTTGAATCCGCACAGTGGACGTGAAGACGGATCACATAGAAGAGAATTTTAAAAATGAAAGCGAAACGGCGAAAGCGTCAACTGTTGTAACATCAAAAACTGTGTAAATGAGTAAATGTTGTGAGAACAAGTTCATGTTTGCTATCAAAAATGTAGTGAATTATTCATCAATCACAAAATTGATATAGCACACGAAGAATCCTCACACACTGAATAGAGGCGTCTGGAATGCGCAAAATTTCCGCAGCTGTTTCTGTTGGAAGTGGATCGAAACCTTTCTTTAAGTTGTTGAACGTGGAACAGACAGTTTTGTACTCTTGAGATACTTCGGCGAGTCTCGTTCTCCAGAAATGCAAGGAGAATTGAGTCATTCAGCATTCTACGACATACATAGAGTAAAAGCTCATGCAGCAGCTGAAACAAGTTCGAAGACCATTATGGACGGTGACGGAGAGGAAAACAATTCGATT